CCGACCTTATCACGCCCAAGCTCCAGGCCCGACCTTATCACACCCGATTTCTGTGCCTGACTTCTGTGACCGACCTTATCCTATCCGATCTCTGTTTTCTCCCGAGGAAGACTTTTCCTTAACCGAGCTCGGACTTATATTCGGATTCTCTTTTTAAGATCCTATTACTATTAACAAGCCCATTAAACTCTGCATCACTCCTTAACCTAATTTGATAGGCCCATTCTCGAAAACCTTACCCATCGTTTTTTTGTGCTCAACAACTTGCCTCCTCCCGCCCAACTCCTAAACGTCACTCCTTGAACTGCATAAAATGCGACGTTTTGGGGTTTGTAGCACAGTGCTATCATTACACTGTGTTATGTCACATCGCAGGGTTTATGAAAAACCCTTCTCTTACCCAACCATACTCACGCCCTCAAAATCTTGAAATTCTTGTCCCTTTCCAAACGATCAATTTCCAAGAATCCTCTGCTTCTTCGTCCTCTGCAACTCCTTCTCAAATGGCTAGCCAATATGTCCCTGCTCTTCCTTTTGATGGGGCTAACCCATCAGTGCCTTCCGTGGCTTCGAGGGTCCTTACCCCTACCATTCACCCTTACTGTACTACAAATGAAGATGCTGATCGTATGAGATCCGTCATCTCTCAGATTTCTCCGATAATTGTCAATGATGCCGCGTTCAAACCGGAACGTCTCTTGGAAAACATCAGAACTCACCTTACTGATCCAAAAGATGCGTATCGCAAATGGCACACGAGACTGCTCCCACATTTTGAAGAACAATGGAAGAGGCAAGGCATTGACAAAGCTATCTTTCTCTCGCCCCTTCACCTTCACGACAAGGCCCTACTAGCAATGGCGGCCTTCTGGCACTCCCAGATGGGCGTCTTCCTTCTCCCCACTGGCCCTATTGGCCCAACCTTGATGGATGTGGCTATCATTGCCCGCTTACCTATAGTGGGTGATGATCCCGTTCTGGTCTCCTTTGAGGGTCACGAGCCTTCACCTAATCACACTGGTTGGGCCCTTGCCAAACTCCCTGAGAAAGAAAGAAGCTGGACCAGCTTTGTCAACAAATATCTGGGTAAGGAAGGTACCCCTATGTCTGAATTGGAGCACACAAACATTCCTCATTTTTTGGTTGTGCAGGTACATTCTCCCCCTTCGTAATCTTTTATGTAAATTCAAAGGTGAATGTCTTGGTTGAATTTCTTCTCTCTTTACAGATACATCATTCTTTCCCCTTCCAAACTCGTCCTCTCTTCCCAGGTCGACCTTGCCATTCAACTGGCCAGCGGCCAATTTTTCTCATTAGGAACCCTTTTTTTGGCTAACCTTTTTGAGGGGTTAGCTCGAGTGAGTATCCGCATGACCGATACCAAAAAGGCGGATACATCCGCTTCGGGACCGTTTTGGTTCCTGGAATTGTGGCTCCTTCTTTACTTCCCCACTGCTTTCTTTGGCCGACTTCCTATCGCCCCAAAACCTTACAGGTCCATAGGTTATGCCTTGGCCAGATTAACTCCTAATTCCTTTTATCTTTATCCATCCGACCCTGTCATCGCCCAAATCTTGACTGAAGACCATAGCAATTCCCGCTTCTATGTCTACGAAACCCTTATACAATATTCAACCGATCTTTTTTGGCTTCAACCAACACATCTTATTCCCAAACTCATCCTGATCCTCTTCCTCATCCGACCTATCCCTTCTCCTGGGACTCTTCCATGAAACCCCGATCTTTATTTTCCAGTAAGAGGTCAGACAAGAAAAACTGCAGATTATTTTACACTTTCAATTATCAGCCCCAATTTTTGGCCCAACAGTTCGGTTGCTGTCAGGGCATACCGGGGCCACTAGCCTGACCTCACCTTATACCCCAAAGCCCAGAAGGGCTGGTAATTCCCGAGCTCATCCCGACCTATCTTTTCCAACTCACCGACTATATCACCTCTAATTCGTATTTGCCTTTCTGCTTAAAACCTTCGGCGGCCGAGGCGTTTCTTGCCTGGTGGTCGGCCACCTGGTCTGTGATTGCTCATCCGAATGACCAATTGGTTGGAAAACTTGCCCCACCCCCAATCTTGGCGTTGGGTTCATCTCGATCAGCTGCTGCCCCGAGAAGAAAAACACAGGTGCCTTCCGTAGGCGGATCCGGAGCAAAGAAAGAGAAGCAGAAGGCCGCTCCTGTAATTGATAGGCGGGTCATCGAGGAGTACCTAGCATCTCTGCCAATGGATACCAGCGGGATGCCAAAATACTTGAGGAAACAATTTGGTGAGTCTTTTTCCTTCCATATTTCATTTTCCTTGCAAACTCTTCTTAACTTAAACAACTTCTATTCCAGAGGACCCTTCATTGCCGCCAACCACTGCCCCATCTATCTCTCACCCGACTGAGCATCAACCGATCATGTCTCAACCGATTGCGGCGCAATCACCCATCAATCTGACTTCTTCCTAGTCAACCGTAGTCCTGACCACACATAAAACAACTATGGTGCCGGCTGCAAACCAACTGACCGTGGTCCCGACCACAAACCAAACGACTGCGGTCCCGACCACAAACCAACCAACCGCGGTCCCAACCACAAACCAACCTACTGTCAATCAGCCGTTAGCTACACCAACGACCTCAGCCGAACAACAACCTGCTCAACCAGTCGATCTTCCAGAAAACCTCCCGATCGCTGGTCACCGACCACCGCACAACCGACCCCCCTACAAGCTGAGGTAAGTATTTCCTAATGCTCTTAAAAAAAAGAAAATACTTACTTCAACCATTAACTTCAACTCTCTTACTGTAGGTACACCGACCGGAGGAATCGGCGGGGAGGCCAATTTCTCCTACAATTTCGCCTCCACCTGCTTTCCTACCACTACAAGTGACTGACGTGGTCGCAGCGATGCCCGACCAACCTGTCGCCTTCCCCGACCAGGTTGCGGAACCATCACAGGTAACTGCCAAGATCCATATGATTCTTTCATAAACCTCTAACTCTTGTATAATATTCCAACTAGGAACCTGATGCAATTGCAGTGGTATCCGAACCCGACCAGGTCACAGAATTGCCCGACCCAGTCGTGGCACCACCCGACCAAGCTGCTGCCGCGCTACCCTTACAACCAGCCGCTCAGCCTGTTGGTGAGGTTCCTCCTATTACTCCTCAACTAGTCCAACCGATCCCCCCGCCTCACGACATAAAAGAGATTTCCTCCTCGAAGTCGGGTGAGGCTTCAGTCAATTTTGCCCCAAGGAGTTCGGTTAGTGTTCCCTCTCATCCATTTTCTAACTTTCTCCCCTTCTTCCTTGCTTAACTTTCTTCGTTTAGGGGATGGAGTTGGCCATCGCTCACCGTCTTCCACCGGGAGATGAGTCAATTGCTGGCCCGACAACTTGCCATGGTGCTTCCACGACATTCTGACTCATGGCCCCTTTTGAAGCCACAGCCGCCTTAAATTAGGTAAAATTTATCCTTATATTGTAATGAGTTCACCATGTCTCTCTGACTTAACATTTTCCTTTTGCCTCAGGCTGCCTAAGAGATGAACGTTTTGGCCCGAGTAAACCTTCCGACTTCTGCCAAATCCATAATAGAGCACTGCGCTGACCTATCCTTCACCGACCTGAGTCTAGCCGACCTCGAGGCTTTAGTTCAGGTTGCAATAGATTTGTTGGTGCAGCCTTCATTAGAGTCAGAAGCTCCTCCCGTCCTCGATCGGATGATGGCAAGGATCACCGAACTTCGAGCCGAACTGCCTTTGATCCGACCTCCATCATCTGAGGCCACATCATCTCAACCGACCGCTGATCCAGCTAGTCTTGAGATAACCTTGAAGAAGGTCAATCAAGACCTTAATCTTGCCAAGGCTACACTGGAAGAACTCCGACAAGCGCGACACATGCTGGCAGCTGAGATTTCTCAAAACATAGAAGAACTCAAACGCCTCCAAGATCAACTGGAGTCCATGGATGATAGCATCCAGGAAGGGAGTCTCCTGGTGGAGGCACATTGACAGACCCAGATGAATCTCTGTGAACAACTCCAAGCAACCATACGAATGCGACTTGTTCGGGGACACGAAGAAGCCTATCAGCGTCGGCAGGCCACAAAGTTGGAACTAAAATGGACCGATCTCCAAAATGCCCTTAAAGCCCTGCTTTCTTCTGTAACCCCGATATAATTTGTACAGAGTTCCAGACTTAATCTATATACTCTATTTTCAGAACAAAGATCCTATGTTTTTTTTGCGCTTTTACTAAGTCAGACATCAAAACAAAGATCCATATTTTTTGCACATTTAATAAACCACAAATTAAACACCACAACACCTATATAAACTCCATACCTCTCACTACAAATATCATCAGCACACCCACATCATCACTCAAAATGGTTTCTCCTCGCATTTGCGTCCCTTCGTCCAACTGGCAAGGTTCTTTGCAACCATTCCTAGTAGGAAAACACCCCATAGGTGATCATGCTGAAGACCTGATACAGGTGCTAAAACAACTGGACTTTAAATTTAGGTTCTCTGGCAGAGGCGGGAGAACCATACATCGTACGATCTGACTGATGGAGCGTATATCCACTGGCTACGAACCCCTTACTGACATACTCACCCGCATATCTGACCTTGATCATCATCTAGACATGATAGATCATCATGTATCGGCAATCCTTCCAGACCTCAGCTGGAACAACATTTTTCATCAACAAAGATCAACAATTTCTAGACTGCGCGTCCTTGTTGAACGAGAGAATCAATCTCTGCAAGATATGAAGGTCCGCACCGAACAAGATCTTCAAGAAATGCAGGATCAGTGGGATCGCTACCGCCTTGATTTGGACGACCTCTTGGATGAAGAACCTGAAATGGTTTCTGCAAGTTGGGATGAAACCTCTAAACCAGAAGACAAATATCCTTCTGATGATTAGAGAACCCTTTTTTAATAGGTTTGAACCCTTTGAGGGGTTCCTAGATTTTATAATAAGAACTAATGACAATGTTCTAAAAAGGCAGGGTAACACATTTTCAGATACTTAGCATTAATATTCTCATGTACCAGCTTTCCTTCTTGATTTACGATAATAAAATCTCCATTCCCAATCACTTTATGAATGATGAAAGGACCTTCCCAATTGGGGGACCATTTCCCTAATTGGTCCACCTTCTTATACGTAGGCAGAATTGTTTTCCAGACCAAATCTCCTTCTGTAAACAACCTTGGGGACACTCTTTTTCCATAATATTTTGCTCTAATCTCGCTCTGTCTAACCACTTGATCCAAAGCATTCAAACGATCTGTGTCCACCTCCTCTAGTTGTTGCCACATCTTTTGTGCATATGCCTCATCAATACATGCTGTTGTAACTCTGGGTGAAGACACAACAAATTCTGCCGGTAAAACAACATTTTGCCCGTATGTTAACTGGTATGGGAAAAATCCAGTAGATGTATTTCTACTATTTCGGTGGGCCCACAACGCCTGAGACAACAATGTGTGCCATTTCCTTGGATTTTCTTCTACCGTTTTTCAAATGATACCGATGACAATCTTATTTGCTGCTTCGACCAACCCATTAGCCTGTGGGTAATATGGTGAAGAGTGATGCAATTTGATGTTAAATTCGGCTAAAAACTCAACAAATTTCTCCCCAGTAAACATCAACCCTTGATCGGTTGTAAGAGTGTGTGAAATCCCAAACCGATAGACGATGTGATTAAGCACGAACTCAATCACCTCGTTATGTGTCGCATTCTTCAAAGGGACTGCCTCTACCCATTTGGTGAAATAATCAGTTGCTACCAGAATGAATGAATGTTGTTTTGATGGCGTCGGATGAATTTTCCCTATTACATCCAACGCCCAAGCTTTGAATGGCCATGGCTTAATCATTGCTTGTAGTTCTACAGTTGGCAGATGATTTAGTGGACCATGCCTCTGGCATTCCTGACATCCTTTAGCAAATCTGATGCAATCATAAAAAATCTTTGGCCAATAGAATCCCATACGATGAATAGCCCATCGCATATTTAATCCTGCTCGGTGCGCCCCACAAATTCCACCATGAACCTCTTCAATTACTTTAATGGATTATTTCGGCCCCAAACACCTCAATAAAACTCCTTCAAAGGTTCTTTTATACAGAACCTCTTCAATAAGCTAGAAACGTAAGGCTTTCAATCGAATGCCAACAGGTGTCACAAAACTTGGTGATTCCAAATACACCATAATTTCTGTTCTCCAATCAGTCCCAGAATCGATGCTCTCGATCATTTGTTGGCAGGTATTCTGAGCCAAATTATCCGCCAACTGATTCTCTGTTATTGGTGCATGCTTGAAAACTACCTCCGCAATTCTGTATAACAGATGACATACCAAATCTCGGTATCGACGCAGATGAGGATAATTACAAGCGTACCGTTTTAACACTTGATTGATGACAAGTTGAGAATCTCCACAAATTAGGACCGATTGTACTCCTTTAGTGATAAATGCTTCCAAACCCAAAATCAGTGCTTCGTATTCCGCAGAGTTATGAGTCATCTCTTCCATTTGAAGCTGCAAACTAATTTTACTGGTTCCTGGTCCTTCTAGTATCACCCCTGCTCCTTACTTTCCTTTTGAACGAGAAGCATTAAAAAATATTTTCCAAGGACTGGTGCCTATATACGGCACTACTTTGTTTTCCAATGATTCATCGCCTGCAAATTCAGCCAACAAGTCGGCTACAACCTGCCCTTTTACCACTTTGATAGGTCGATGTTGCAGCGCGAAAGGAGCCAATTTGATGGCCCATTTCATTAATCTTCCATGCATGGTTGGTTTGTGCAGAATTAATCTGATCAGATCCATTTTAGAAATCACCTCGGTTTCTCTTGGCAAAATATAATGTTCAGCCGAGTACACGCAAAAACTAAAGAATAGCACATTTTCTCGGGCATAGTATAATTTAACTCTGGTCCTGTCAGAGTTTTACTTAAATTATAAATAGCCCTTTCTTTACCATCTTCCCATTCTTGCGCAAGCAAACTACTTACCACATCGAAACTGTTTGCAACATACAATCGGAGGGGTCGATCACCTTTTGGGGGAACCAACACAGGTGGTTTGGTTAATACCTGTTTGATTTCTTCTAATGCCTTCTGCTGCTCCTGACCCCAAAAGAAATCGGCCGCCTTATTCCGTAGCAACTTTGTGATAGGTTTTAACTTCCCTGCAGCATTTGATATCAAACGCCTTAGGTAATTTACCTTTCCCGACAAACTTTGCACTTCTTTGACCGACCGAGGTGGCCGCATTGTCAAAACAGCCTTGGCTTTGTTTGCATCAACTTCTATCCCTTTTTCATGCACTAAAACCCCCAAGAAATTCCTTGCCGAAACTCCAAAGGCACATTTCGTTGGGTTCAGTTTCAGGTTGTACTGCTTCATCTGTAAAAAAGCATTTTTTAAATCAAACAGATGTGTGTCAAAGTCAGTAGACTTAATGATCACATCATCGATGTATACCTCCATTGACTACCCGATCAGATCATGAAAGATGGTATTCATTGCCCGTTGGTAGGTTGCTCCAACATTCTTTAAACCGAATGGCATAACTGTCCACTCGTAGATTCCCAAAGCTTCTGGGCATTTGAATGCGGTTTTGGGTATATCTTATTCCACTAATGATATTTGATTATACCCTGCATATCCACCCATCAAACTTAAAATTCGATGCCCTGCTGCCGAGTCGATCAACATGTCAGCTATGGGCATCACATACTCATCTTTTGGAGTGGCTAGATTGAGATCTCTGAAATCAATGCAGATTCGAATCTTTCCATTTTTCTTGGTTACCGGAACAATATTGGCTAACCATTCCGCATACCGACATGGTCGAATGAATCCCACCTTCAACAGTTTCTCAATTTCTTCTTTGATCTGGGGCATCAATTGTGGACTCACTCTCCTTGATGGTTGCTTATACGGCTTAAACCCTTTCTTAATAGGCAACATATGTTCTATCAAATCGCGCGCCAATCCGGGCATCTTGGAGTAATCCCATGCCAGACACTCCATATGGTCCCGAATTAACACTACCATTTGCTCCTGTTGGTTTTTAGACAACAAACCACTTACCCTGACCATCTTGGGTATCTGTTCGATTCCTACATTATACTCAATGAGAGGATCCTGAGTCGACAAGGAAGGTTCTGTCTTTTCCAAGAGATCAGGCCAACGAAAACCTTATCCCTCGCCAACATTATTGTTGGAACCTTCCCTATTATGTAACCTAACCATTAATTGGTTTAAATAAAACTGCCTAATTAGCTTATCACATCTACTTATTTCTTTCATAATTAAACTTAAATAAATGAAAAAGTTTTTTGGCTAACGACAGAGCCATAAAACAGAAGAATGTTTCTAATGAAATACATAACCTTGCGCAGTGAGCCTACAGCCCTTCTAGGGATATTCGTCTACCACAGTTGTCCATGAAATCGGCGGTACGTACTCTGAATAAAGCACCGACTCTTCCACACCTTCTGTGGAGCCGAACGGATTGGTGCTGGCTTCCATGGTGAATACCTGATCTCTTTCCCAAAACATGATCTGTTGATGGAGAGAAGAAGGCACGCATTTGGAAGCGTGAATCCAGTCTCGCCCTAACAAGACCGAATAAGTAGTGTTGGCATCTACCACGAAGAATACTGTTGAAATCACCTTTGGTCCGACTTCAATGGGTGCCACCATCATCCCTTCTAGTTTGGTTGGTTGTCCCGTGAAGCTTGTCATCTCGATATCTACTGGAGACAGGTCACCAATCCCTTTGCCCAATTTTCTCAGAGTTTTAAGAGGCATGACGTTGAAGACGGCCCCATTATCAATAAAAACCTTGTTAATTGGCTTACCACAAATGTGAGCGTTAACATACAATGGTTTCAAGTGTGGGATTGCTCCTTCTGGTATAGGCGGAAAAACCATAGGTGGGGGACTGCCAGTCATCGCCGCCCACTCTGGTTCTTCTTCTTCCAACTTTGCCCAGATGGGCTCTTCTTCTTCCTCGAACCATCGCATATCCGTCATCCTGACTTCGAACCCGGCTTTATCAATCCTCACTATCTTGCTGCGCAAAACTCTTGTTTCTTCTGGTGCAAATGACCCGAAGATTATCTCAGGAGTCTCTTCCTAGGCATCTCCTATTTCAGGATCAATGTTGATCCGTTTGCAGAACTGACACTGAAAGCACTTGGCCTTCTTGATAGGCTTTCCAATCTACCAGTACTCCTGTAGTCGGTCGCTCGAGGTTTTACTTTTGGGTGACGACGCCTTCTTCCCTTTCCATTTGTCTGCTCGCTTTACATGTCGAGCCGCATACCTGCGCTTAGCATTACAGATTTGTGTACGATTGATACCTGGAAACTGGGGATCTATGTCTATTGGCAGAGGCTTTCTGTTCCGGCTAAATTTGTCATGGACTGGCTGTGGTTTGCGCGTTGGTCGATCTTGTACTACAGCTTTATCCTTCAATTCCACTTCGAAGGATCCATCTTCTTTATCCCATTTCTCTGCCACTTTGGTTTCGCAAACTTTGAACTTGTCTTCTTGATCATGTTCCTTCTCTTTGGGCTTACGCTCATTTCGCTTGGTATTTTCTACAGCATCACTTTGCGTATCTTGTGAAGAGCGCAGAGAGATCACAACAGTAGTCACCTTTGGGAACGGCTGGTGCTCCACTCCCATTGTTACATACTTGAATCTCCCTGCTTTGATAGCCTTCTGTATTTCCTTTCGGAAATGCGTACATTGATTAGTGTAATGCGTAAAAGAATTATGCCACTTACAGTATGGCCTCCATTTTATCTCTTATTTCGTTGCTAAATGCTGCCCGTTAGGAATGCGAATTTGCCTATCTGCTAGCAGAATATCAAAAAATTTCGTCTGCTTTAGACGCATCAAAAGTCGGTTGTTGCTTCTCTTCAGTCTCCGGAAGGGGCTTCAGTTTGGAACACACAAAAGGCTTGCCGTTTACAATTTCAGCTGCCATTTCTTCAATGCTGTTTCCCTGCTCATCATCTGGCGCATACATTTCTGTATCGACACTGGCCATCTGTTGGACCCTGTTCCGTCGGAAATTATGATCTTTTTCTCTAAAAAGAGATTCTAGCCTTCCTTCTTTGGAAGCCAAACTGGCCGGATCCTGAACATCGTGGGCTGTCAATGCCTTCCGTAGTCTTGTATGCATATTCCTGACCACTAAATTGGTCATCTCGCTTTCTTCAATGATTGTCGGGCACCGTTCCTTCATTAGACGTATCCGCTCTATAAATTGATAAGCAGTCTCTTCTGGTATCTGCCGGATCTCTAAGAGATCTGTGAGTGGGACCTTCGGGAGTGGATTAAGGAATCTTGCATGGAATGCGGCCTCCAGACCTTCCCAAGTTTGCAACTGTCCTGGCGGTAGATTAGGGAACCATGAAAAAACGGTTCTTGTGAGCGATAATCCAAACAACTGTAATTTGTAAAACGAATTATTGCCCACTTCCCCCAATTGAGCCGTGAAGCATCCCACATGCTCAATGGTTGAGGCTCCATCCTCTCCTGAAAAAGAATGAAAATCGGGTGGTCTGTAATTCCTCGGAAGGGGGTGCTCATTGATAATTCTTTTTGGGAATGGCCTCTGATATGCCAGTCTATTGGCCGTTTGAGGATTCATTCCAAAATGCACCCTCAAGACTTGAGAAATCTCTTCCTGATCTACCTTGGGCGGAACAAGGTCAAATACAGGAATGAGATTGTGAGCCTGACCGCCCAATCTTTCTTCTCTGGGGTCGGTTGGTTCGGCCCTAATGCCCAATGGAACGTTGTTTGGGTATGTTAGGAGATTCTTTCCCCTATCAACCCTAGTAGTGGTACTTGGAAATGTGCTGTCTACATATGAAGGCCCCGCCAAATTTGCTTGTAATCTGGATGGTGATAATTCTGGCGGTGTCTGGGTGGGTTGCAGAGTAACCCTTGATATAGCATATTTTGTATAAGGTTTTGTTGCTCACACAACATGTTTTGCATAGCCAGAGTATATTGATTGTCCAATTGTTGAACATAGGACACCCAGTCAGCAGATGCTTGTGGTGTTTCCCCTGCGCTCGGCATGACAGTTGGCGAAATGTTTTCTCCCACCGGTGCTGATGATGATTGAAGTTGTGAACCTGCCATACAGATCCTTCCGATGATTCCGCCGGACCTCAGTCGTATGAAATTCTTTGTTGATGTAGGATCAGCAATCTTGCCTTTCTCCCACTGTGGTCGCCAAATTGTTGATGCTATTTTTCAACAATAAAAAGTAAAATCCGAAAATAAAAATTATCTTCGAATTTGATAAAATAAATGCTTGAGATTAAGAATCTCTAGACACTGTAGGATACATAAATAAAATAGGAAACTAAATACTACAGACTGAAAAAATAAAGTGGTGATCCCCAAAAACAATTCTCTTGAATTTGATGTCGATTGAAGATGGTTTTTTAGGTCCCGAACAGACCTATTTAAAACCCAAATCAACTGCCACTACCAAGTCGTGCCTTTGTATCCGCTCATCGGTTGAAACTTCCTTCAACCGTCCGAAAACTGCTTTTTCACCCGACCTGCATATCTGCTGCTCCGTCTCCTCTTATATGTCTTCCACTTGTCTGACCTCATTTCACCCGACCTATATAACGCCCGACCTTATCAAGTTTGTCCTCTGCGTCTGACCTTATCACGCCCGATCTCTGCACCCGACCTTATCATGTTTGACCTCTGTGCCCGACCTGATCACACTCAACCTCAATGCCTGACCTTATCACATCATACCTTCGCGCCCGACCTTACCACATTCGATCTTAACGCCCGACCTTATCACGTCCGATCTCCGTACCCGATCTGATCACATCCGACCTCAGTGCCCGACCTTATCGCGCCTGACCTCCGAGTCCGACCTGATCACACCCGACCTCAGTGCCTGACCTTATCAAGTCCACCCTTTGTGCCTGACCTTACCATGTCCGATCTTAACGCCCGACCTTATCACGTCCGATCTCCGTACCTGACCTGATCACATCCGACCTCAGTGCCCGACCTTATCACGCCGGATCTCTACACCCGACCTTATCATGTCTGATCTCTGTGCCCGACCTTATCACGCCCAAGCTCCAGGCCCGACCTTATCACACCCGATCTCTGTGCCCGACTTCTGTGACCGACCTTATCCTGTCCGATCTCTGTTTTCTCTCGAGGAAGCCTTTTCCTTAACCGAGCTCGGACTTATATTTGGATTCTCTTTTTAAGATCCTATTACTATTAACAAGCCCATTAAACTCTGCATCACTCCTTAACCTAATTTGATAGACCCATTTTCGAAAACCCTGCCTATCGTTTTTTTGTGCTCAACAATAATTAATATGATCTTTTATTTATTTTTCTTTTTTTTTTGTTTGTTTGCTAATACACTCTCAAATTAAGTAGCAATCAAAATTTTATTATTACATGTTCACCCGCTCTCTTACAAGGTGTATTCATTCAGGATGTTATTGGATTTCAAAAGTTTATGAATTTATATGTATTTAAAAAATCTACATAGTTTATATTAATTTTTTATTAATTTAAATAATTTGTATAAATTTAAATGAAATATATTTAAAGATTAAAAAAAATTAGATAACTAAATAAAAATACAAAAAATATAATAGATAAAATAAATTTATATGAATATATATCATATATAATTGATGTATAATAATTGTAGCATAATACTATTTTTATATATTAATATTTTCAATTATATAAATGTGTATCTATTAATAATTTAACGGAATATAGTTAGTGTTTTTGGTTCTTGACTGCCTTTATTTTTTATTATATAGCACTTTATGAGATTATACTTTGTGCTCTATAGTTCTAACTACAGTGCTTTTCGTATTTGTTATATAGTGTTTTAATGTAATATATTTAGCGCTTTTGTTTCATTAAAGTTTTTTTTTATTATGTAGCACTTTATGATATTATACTTTGTTCTCCATAGTTCTAATTACAGTGTTTTTCGTATTTGTAACATAGTGTTTAAGGTAATATAAATAGAGCTTTTGTTTTTTCACTGTTTTTTCCTTTTTTATTATATAGCACATTATGAGATTATACTTTGTGCTCTAAAGTTATAATTACAGTGCCTTTCGTATATGTTAAATAGTGCTTTAAGGGAACACAATTAGTGCTTTTATTTCTTGACTGTCTTTTCTTTTTATTATGTAACACTTTATGAGATTATACTTTTTACTCTATAGTTCTAATTACATTGCATTTCTTACTTGTTACATAATGCTTTAAGGATATATAGTTAGCGCTTTTTTTCTTCACTTTTTTTTCTTTTTAATATATCACTTTATGAGATTACACTTTGTGCTCTAGAGTTCTCATTCTAGTGCTTTTCGTATGTGTTACATAGTGTTTTAAGAGACTATAGTTAGTGTTTTTATTTCTTGACTGCCTTTTCTTTTTATTATATTGCCCTTTATGAGATTATGCTATGTGCTCTATAATTCTAATTAAAGTGCTTTTCGTATTTTCTATATAGTGCTTTAAGGGAATATACTTAGCGCTTTTGTTTCTTCACTGTTTTTTCTTTCTATTATATAGCACTTTATGAGCTTATACTTTGTGCTTTAAAGTTCTAAATATAGTTCTTTCGTATATATTACATAGTGCTTTAAGGAAATACGGTTAGTGCTTTTATTTCTTGACTGCCTTTTCTTTTTATTATATAGCCCTTTATGGGATTATACTTTGTGCTCTATACTTCTAGTGTAGACAATTTGATCCTCTATGCTTCCTAGTGTACAACATGCACTATATATCCATATGCATTATATGAACTTAAGCTTGTGACTTTTTTTACGAGTAATTTTAATTGTACACTTCATGCTCTTGCTTGAGTTTTGCGAGTTTGTTCTTGTTTGAGTGTTGCAAGTTTGTTCTTGCTTGAGTTTTGTGATTTTGCTCTTGTTTGAGAAAGTAAGTTTACGGATTTTTGAGTTCGTTGTTGCTAAAAGTGAGGTTGAATTAATTTTGAGTTGGATGTTATTGGCGAAGTGTAAGGAGTTATTTTTGATGTATTGTTTTGCCTAGGCCTCGTAATATTATCGTGAAAAACTAAAAAAAAAAAGAAGTTGCAAAAAAAATAAAATTGTTGCAAAAAAAAAACCAAACTGTCCAAAAAAAAACAAAATAAAAATAAAAAAGAATTCGAGCAGGAGGACTAGAGCAATTTTTTGTCGATAATCTTGTTTGAGTTGTAGTTTTCTTATACAAGCTCCATTTTACGCATATCATATGTCATTGGAAAGCTTGTGAAGTGAAGAAAAAGATATATTAATTAGTTTATGTGAATTTGTAGTTTACGTTGATTATTCAGTTTTGGGTTTTTGAGTTTGGATTAATTTTGTGCTTTTCATATTTGTTTGACACATTTTAAAAGGTTTGAGTATTGTGGTGATTTGGTAGTTGTTGAGATCTGAATCAGATTGTGTTTTTTGTTAACTTGCATAGTTCCGGAATTTGTGTGTTGTGTCCATTTGGTCATTCGTCCGTAAATGAATGAGCTTGGTTATTTGCATTGCATGATTGACACTATCTTGAGCTTTCTTTGATTGAGTCGTGTTTAAAGTTTCTTGTCCACTTTAAAGGCATAAGTCACTCAGGTTCCACCTTTACGACTCCATCAATGCACACTTTAAGAGCTTGGAAACTCTATCCATTTGTCGAGAGGTATACACGAGTGTGCGAGTGGGGGGGTTGTGAGGACTAACTTTCAATATACATATACTTAGCTTGCTTTGGTGCAGGTATGGCTTCCTTAGACGATATCTTAGCTGCATTAAATGAACAAAGTACACTTCTAAGAGGGATGGAAGAAGAGTTAGGAGGAAAAATGGATGATGCGCTGACTTAAGCGGACCCACAAGTACAATATATACTTGAGCTCCATTGCAATGTAGACAATATTTCAGATAACATAGGTGGTTCTACGCATTTTGATGATGGAGGCAATGTACTTTTTTCTGATGATGAGTGTGATAATTGGGAATATGAGGTCAAGGCTAAAGAAGATGAAGTTTTCCAAGTGATTGAATAACAACTTGAAGAAGATTTATTGGGAGAGTCACTACTGGTATTGCAAATGCTTGCTGCTATTCCCAAGGAGTCGGAATTATTTGTTGGTCGGGTTAAGAAGAATTGGGAGAATTTGTTCCCTTGTTGGTACAAGATTGGTGGAAAACGAGCATTGATGATCTTTGATACTGGAAGTTGCACCGATGTTGTTAGTTGCTTTGTGATAGACCTGATGAGATTCCAAACTCGACAACATTCAACTTTCCACTATTTTCCATAGATGTATTCTAGTGGTGATATGAAAGGTACTAGACAAGGCAAGGTTCCGATCAAATTGGTCCTTATAAGGGTTCCAACATCCTACTCTCACTTACTGATTTTCAGATAAAAGCAAGTGATTTTGATCAAAATGGGGGTTGCTTTTTATTTTTATGTAATTCTTTACTAGAAGTTCTTTATTATTTATCATCCAATATTCGAGCAGATGAGGATGCACAATGGTTGATGGCTCAACCTTCTGAAGAGGGAGGAAATGACATGGATATCCGAACGTCAATATTCACAATTACAAAA